GCCTAGTGGTTTTTCCCTACTTTCTTCAATTTAAGCCTGAATTTTACAATAAGGAACTCATGATCTGAGCCACAGTCAGCTCCAGGTCTTGTTTTTGATAGTGGAGGTGATGAAATTCCCACTGAGCTATTCAAAATACTGAAAGATGATGCTGTCAAAGTGCTGCACTCAATATGTCAGCAAATTTGATCTCAATTGCTATCTTTCCCATGAAACCAAAACCTTCTCGTGACCATTTGATACTGTCTCTCTCTCTCTCTGACACCTTCTCACAGCATTGGATCCCAGCTCATGTTCAGAAAAAAAATTTTTTTTGATCAACAGACTGACTGATCCCTGACTTATCCCTGAAGTGTTTTCCTTCAGTCTTTTTCTTTAAACTTTTATTCGGAAAATTTTAAACGTATGCAAAAATAGAGAGGATAATGTATCCATGTATACATTCATCATGTATCCAACACCTGGCTTCAGTCATTGACAATTCATGACCCATCCTCTTACATTCATCCTCAAATGCCCAATCCCCATTATTTTGAAGAATATCCATCATTCGGTTCACAGTATTTCAATATGTATCTCTGAGAGAGAATGACTGTATAAAAATATAATATCACTGTCAGACGTCAAAAACTAAACATAAAGAACTCCTGAAACTCAAATGTTCAGTTAGTGTTCAAGTTCCCAACAGTCTCACATCTTTTTTTCCCTTGAAAGATGCTTTCTTTGACAGGATCTGCACACTGTGATTGATTGAGATCTGGTTGTTGTTGTTGTTGTTTTTTTAACCTATAGGCACCAGCTATTGTTTTTTCCTTGCTTTTCTTTGAAGAAACGGAATCATTTATCCTGAAGAGCAGTGCTTCTCAAACTGTCTGTGGCAGAGACAGTTCTAGGCCTCTAATCAGTCTGGAACTGATACACAGGTGCTGTGCAAAACCACCCCCACCCCCACCAGACTGCATGCACAGCTCACCAAGAGCAGCGAGGAAGGCCTGGAGCAGACTGCGTGCAGACCCACGGGCGTCCTCGGACAACAGCCTTGAATGTGACTGCCTCGTCATTTCTCATCACTCACTGTGATGCTTGTACTTGATTTCATTAGGCAGATCTCACCTTGAGTAGCATCGCTATAGAATTTCCCCAGGCTGGATTTTGTTTGTTGTATCCACATGATGAGTAGTTGGAGAAGACTCTTGAGAGTCCCTTGGACTGCAAGGAGATCCAACCAGTCCATCCTAAAGGAGATCAGTCCTGGGTGTTCATTGGAAGGACTGATTTTGAAGCTGAAACTCCAAAACTTTGGCCACCTGATGCCAAGAGCTGACTCATTTGAAAAGACCCTGATGCTGGGAAAGATTGAGGGCAGGAGGAGAAGGGGATGAGAGGATGAGGTGGTTGGATGGCATCACCGACTCAATGGACATGGGTTTGGGTGGACTCTGGGAGTTGGTGATGGACAGGGAGGCCTGGCGTGCTGTGGTTCATGGGATTGCAAAGAGTCAGACACGACTGATGTAGTTTGACGTGTTTCTCTGTCCTCTGTATTTCTATAAATGTGTTAGATCTAGCAAGCTGAGCCGATATAGGTCCAGTTTGTTTGACAGGGCTCTTCACAGGCGGCCCTGTGTTCTCCCGCCTCCTCCTGAGGCGCTGGCGGTCACGGGGAGCGGGGCCACCGCCAGAATCACAAAGTGATGGCCTCCACCACGCCTGAGCAGTCTGAAGGCAGCGCTTTCATTGCTAGTCAGTGATCAGTGACTTTTGATAACTCCAATATTTCTCTTTAACCCATGAATCTACAGCTGTGAATTTTTAGATAGCTAGGGACAGGGAAAGCTTTATTATTCTTTCTTACTGCTTTCCACATCAACAACACTGAAGCCAGGCATAGTTCTAATAATGTTATTGCGTCTCTGACATTTATTTACAACTTCAACTGTCAACTAGTACATAGACAACTTATTTTAAGTTTTTCCATGTGACTATATACCTCTAACACTTGGGTATAGAATTTATGTGTGTGTCTGTCTGTCTGTACAAACAAAAACACACATACATAGTTACAGAATTTTAAAAACAAACAAATCAAGCATGCTAATCATACTTCTCAGATTTGCTGCTCTTTACTCATTTTGTCTGCTTAATTCATCAAACTTTGATTGAACTCATTTAAAACCTACTATCATCATGAACTTTTCAAACTTGGATTTCTTCGGTTTTGGTTTCTGTATTACAGCTATGACGTCGGGCACATTAAAATTCCTAAGTCATAAAGCATCTTGGTCCATGTATTATCCCTCTTTATTCATAGTTACTATTTTTTCCACATATTCTACTTTATCTAATACTAAAAAGTGCTTTACCAGCTTTAAGTGTATGCTTCATATACCCTTCTCTTGCCCTTTACTTTCAACCTCTGGTGATTTCGTTTCGGGACTCTCTGATTGAAAAATGTCCAATCTGATAATGGATGTCTTTAAATCAGTAAATTTAACACATTTAAATTTGTGAATACTGATACATTTCACCTTTTCTGAAACACAAAAGGGTTTTATTCACAACTAATAGATACATAACGTATATCCATTTCTATGCTTATTCTTGTTTCCTTTACCCCACATCTGTCGATTCACCTTTCTTCTTCCTGAAATACACTACACAGTGAATAAAATAACAATTGCCAAGATTATGAAATAACCGGAAAACTTTACAGAATGACAGTACAATTTTTTAAATTACATATGTAGTGTGATTACAATGATGGGAAAAAGAAAAACCCTATTCAGAGAGTAATAAAGCAAAAGAAGGAAAAAAACTCTTCTTGATTGTTAAGGTTAGATCAGACTTGGTACCAGCTGAAGCCAGGAACCCACAAAACACCAGTCCTATCTCCGTGACACTGTTGCTGGAACTAAAGCCCTGGCTGGGCCGTGAGCAGCTCCTCCGTGAAAAGCAACCGGACGCGGAGAACGGCTGACGCTCAGGGTGTACTCTGCCACCAGCTGGCGGGGCGGCCCTGGGTGAGTCACTAAACCCGCTGCAGTGGAAGTAATCTGCTTCACAGGGTTTTATGACAAGCAGCAAATGAAACAAGGCGTGTGGAACCACCTTACTGTATTGATACATATGTGTACGTGTGTGCGTGTAGTCTTTCTGACCACAAGGCAGAACACACAGTCACATCATCCGAAGACAAGCCGTGCCTGCCCCCCACTAACCTGGCCTGGACCCCGCAGAAGTGTGAAACAAGACGAGGTTAATCCCCTCTCCGCCCGTTTCCTACCTTCTCAGGGAGCCGGGGTTCTCCCTCCACTAAAACACCAGCGTGCGTCTCACAGCCTCCACTGCCTTCTCCACGGCTCGCAGCCTCACCGACCAGTGGGCACTGGCCTCTTTCACTTTTGTAACGTGATGAACTGGGCTGAGCGCCTGCCACTGCCGCGACCTGGACACGGCTCCCTGACGTCACACCTCTGCTGGCTCAGTGACTGCAGGCGCCGTTCCATCACTGGGCCATACTTCCCAGACTCTGCCCTTTGTGTTTCCTGACAAATCTGCATCCTTATAACAGTTACTACCCTTACCGGAGAAAGTAGTCAGCTTTCCCAAGTAGAAAAGTGCTCATCTCAGCAGTTCTGGGATGAAGCATAGGTGGACTTTTGTGCAAAGCTAATACCTATTTCTGCATTTTCACAGATTCTCAGGAAGAGCTGAGCACCCTGAGGCAGCAGACTCCTACAACGGGACTCACTGAACACAACAAGCGATGATTACTTATCAGCCTAAGGAGCCGACACCATTCCTGCTCATATCCAACAACTCAAGGAGCCAACACTGTTTCTGCTCATTCAACAACCCAAGAGCCGACACCGTTCCTGCTCACTCCAACAACACGCTGACCTGATGTTTTGTGGGAGGGACTTTTGTTGATAATTATTCCTCCCGTTTCAGTGAACACGTTTGTAAGAAGCACTAAGGGAGTAATGTAAGATATTTCCTGTGCCTCATTAATTCCATTTGTTTCTTACATAAAAAAAGAGATGGTTTAAAAATATGTTAATGAAAGACAAGTGACACTGCACTCTTTTAGGAAACAGACTCAAGCTTTCAGGAATTTTCGTAAATTGCAAAGAAAAAAAAAAAGAAAGATTCGCACATGTTAGGATGTCAGCTACCAGATTCGAGGAGTTGGGTGCTTTTGAGAATGACCAGAATATCAGATTTCCCAATCAAAAAGGCTCTCTGAACCCAAACACATACTTTGGGAACAGAACAGTGACGCCCTCTCACAGAGAAAAGCACGTACAGCGGCCACAAGTGTTCAGCAGGGGACCCCGAGGAAAGAGCTGGGGGCAAGATGGCACCTTAGTCTCAGCCGCCAGAGCACCAGTGCCCCGGGCTACCAGGAAATCCACCGCTGTCCACCACCACGTCCGCGTAACTAACCTCCACCCGCTGAGGACCGGAGCGACCTAACCACAGGTCTTGGCCCCGCGTCTCCAGCCCTGTGCGATGGAGGGTAAGTGTGAGTCACTGACCACCCACTCATCAGGAGAAACGCAGCGACAGGCACGTGAGGGCCGGAAGGCAAAAGTCCGACAAGGGGCAGTAAAGGCCAGCCAGTTCCTGCCTCACTAACACAGCGCGCTGGCCAGGACGTCCAGGGCCCCGCCTGCACCAAGGACGCCGTCAAGGACGGATGACGCTCGGACGCCAAGGAAGCGCCAGGGCCCCGCGCAACTCTGCTGGGATCAGCCGGGAAACCGCAGCATCCCTCTCTGAGACCGCAGCTCCAGGGCCCCGCGCAGCTCTGCTGGGATCAACTGGGAAACCGCAGCATCCCTCCCTGAGACCGCAGCTCCAGGGCCCCACGCAACTCTGCTGGGATCAACCGGGAAACCGCGGCATCCCTCCCCGAGACCGCAGCTCCAAGGCCCCGCGCAACTCTGCTGGGATCAACCTGGAAACCGCGGCACCCCTCCCCGCGGGGGCCGGCTCACCTGGTGGCGAGAGAAGAGGCGCACGGCCTCCAGCTGGTGGAACACGGGATAGTGCTGGGCGTCGATCTGGTCGCGCCGGTACACGTCGCCCACCACCAGGAAGGCGTCCAGCCCCGCGCGCAGCAGGTCCCACTGGTGCGCCGACGTGTGCGCGCGCAGCATGTGCGTGGCGTTCAGGTAGTAGTTGTCGCCCTTCTTCCGGCTGGGGTGGTCGGCCGGGATGAGCAGGCTGTCGAAGTTCTGCCAGGTGGTGACCACCGGGGAGAGGTCGTCGTACACGGAGAAGAGCGGGGCCCCCGCGCGGCCCGCGTACCGCGCGTAGAAGTGCTGCTTCACCCGCTCCTTGAGCAGCCAGAGCGGGTGCTGCGGCTGGTTGTGCAGGTTCCGGCCCACCTTGGACAGGACCTTGCGGGTCAGGTTGCTGTAGTCGTCCCGGGGGTAGGACTTGCCCAGCAGCTCCACCGTGTTGCCCGGGGCTCCCGGGGCGGCGGGCCTCGGGCCCAAGGGCTGATGCTCGTGGCCCGGGTAGACGCCGCTGGCCTTCCGGGCCAAGTGGGGACGCACCTGGGTGACTCTCCTGAGAGCCCAGCAGACCATGGCGACAGCTTCCTTCACGGGTTCTGGAAAGAGGACACACACACAGCAGAGTCACCTCTCACCCGTGGAGAGTCGGTCTCCCACCAGCACACCACCACCCCCCCACATCAAGAGAATCATGAACATCATGTTTGGATCCCCAATCTCGAGCTGTCCTTCCGTGGACACTTGAGACAATGAAACTGAAGCAAATGTCCTTTATTCGTGTCATGTCATGTCCTGGATCCCTCACGTGGAACAAACCTATGGATGTGACGACCTCCTTTTATTCTGACCTCCTTTTATTCGGGGCCTCACTCCTTAAAGGAAGCCCATGACTGCATCCAACAGGCCCTGAAGGATGGAGGGAGAAAGTCTGAACTGCCATCCCCCCACTGCATCCTCATAATCACCAAGTTCTGCTCACTTCTGCCAAAATGTGACTTCCGGATTAGTTCACTATATTGTAAGATGACATGAACAACACTTTTTTTTTTTTATGTTTCAAATAAAATACACCAATTTAGGTAATGGTTATTTTTATGTAATTTTTTAAAAAATAGAAGTGAAAACTGAAGGAAATATTACACAGAGTGATATCCCACACCAGTGGACAGCTGGGACTATTTTTATAGATGCAAATCTTTCCTATCCTCACATCTGGTCATGTCACTCCCACTTAATACCATTGCAGGATCCCATCAATGACACGTGTTTGGTAAAAGAGCAGGTTCCCACTGCACAACACGGGAAACCAGGGGCAGGACTGCCCTCACCCACGGAGAGACGCGGAGCAGTCGGGACACAGAGAGTGGCCAGATCTTTCTCCTAATGCCCAGGATTCAACAAGAGAACCAGACTTCACAGCTGGAGGTCACGCAGCAGTCACCTCGCACAGGCTGTGTGCATCAAAAACAAGGTGACAAAGAGCCAGTGGAGAGGCCCAAACCCCAAGGTGCTGGGAGCGTTGAGACGACACCAGAGATTTCTGGACGCTCTCGCGGGCCCACGAGCAGGTTTAAACGGACTCGGGGATCTCCGGCATGAAAAGCTTTAGATGTCAAATTCCTACAGTGGTGAAGACAACTGCCGTGAACTTAAATCAGCCAAACCCATCTTCTAAAACTTGGCATTGTTACCACTGAGTTACTATCAAACCCACAGGTAGGTGGTGATTTGACTTCTAGGCTCTACAGACTACCAAGAAAGCACATAACTTCATGATAATAAATGCATTAAAAGGGAACAACATTGCTCCAAGTGACCATCCGAAGCACACTGGGGGTGCACCCCGGCATCACAGCCCACCTGGATTACGGAGCTGAGAACACCCAGCTCCGAATGAAATGCCTGTGCACCTGTGAGGTGGCTTATTAGATGCCTGGGCATGGCCCTGGTATCTGAGACAGCCGTCATGTGAGAAGTTTTCACGGAACCCAGAAACTCTCTGGATTTGTTCATTTATGGCACTGTTTTGTCAGAGTTGTGGCGGAAAGTGTTTTTGGCTGAGCTTCAGTGGAAGTCTGTCTTCCCCTCCACCGTACTCAGTGGCTTGTCACCGCCGCAGATATAAATTTTAAATATGCCCGAGCCGCCTTCTGCATCTCAGCACTCAGTCACGCTGGTGGGCTGTCAGCGACCCGGCTCAGCGCCCTTGGGAGACACAAGAAAGCCTCTTCCCTCCAAAGGCGTGTGCTGTCACCACACTCAGGAGCCTTCTGGGGAAGGTGCTATCACTGCACACAGCCTTTGACTGCTTTGGGCCCTCAGGCTTCTCATAGAAAACAGTACCTGTCTCCTAGGAAAAGATCTTGTTCATAATGTACTTAATTCATTGCTGGTACATAGGACACAAGATAAGTTAAACTAAAGGTTAAAAATGGCCCATTAAAGGTTAAAAAAAGAACCCAGACTGTTAAAAAACAGTAACCCACTGAGACAGAGAACACGGGATGAATTCTGGATTTTCCCCAAATGATTTCCATGCGTATGTCTGCAGCTGGAGCGACCTGGGCCATGCTGAAGTTAAGTACGGGTGACACAGCCACATTATCAAATTTCACATTCATCCAACTTATTTACTGCACTGGTGGATCTGCTTCTGGCAGAAGAGCAATGTGGCATAACCTCTCCATTAGTGACGTGAAACCCTCTGATGTCTCGCCTCCAGGTTCACGGTCAAACCTCACTGTGGTCCAGAGTCAGTGACAAGCATTGCATGGTGTTGAATTATCCACCTCGCTTCCAGCATTAGCAGCTGCAGAAATAGCGGTTTCAAGGCTGAGCTCTTTCAGGTTTTAGAACGTGAAGAATCCATTAACTCTACTGTGTAATCAGTTTCATTCTCTTGTGTAAGGACTGCACACTCATTCCTCGGGGGACATGAAACCCCATGGTCACCAGGCTCCGTTACAGATGTCACAATGTTGAGTAGGCAAATTTCAAAAATACTACTTTTCACAAGAAGCTGAAAAGTAAGGCTGTGAGCAACTTTTGGCAGGAAAGAGCTCTCAAGAGGGGGCCCCCGTTTGTCTTGTCACTAACCTGAAATCAGACACCCCCATGTTCTATTCATCTCCAGCCCAAGCACACCTTTCAGATCTCCGAACCACACAATGCCTTGCCTAACCTGCTGGCAATCAACCCTGAATATTCACTGGAAGGACTGATGCTGAAGCTGAAGCTCCAGTACTTTGGCCACCTGATGCAAAGAACCTATTGGTTCTTTCCATAGATCAGAGGAAAAGAAATGAAGACTAAGTCATTAATAGGTGACCAGATTGCTTCCCTAGCATCCCCTTCAGTAATCGCTTGGACAAACTATGAGAACAAGTTAACATCTAAAGAAAAAATCACAAGAAGTCCACAAGCTGGCACACCAGCCTAACCCCCACATCTCAGTGATTAGCTGAGATGACTTCTTCAGTTTTTCCCTTTAAAAACTCTCATGGCTGGGCAGAAAATTCACACATGGCTTTGGAGGGACCCAACCACCTTTCTAGCCTCCCATTGCCTTCCTTCTGAGGACAAATAACATGTTTCACTTTCTTAGGCACCTGTGTGTTAGGGAATGACCTTTAGGTACTTCCAGAAAGAGCATTTTCTTTAATTTTGATATATTAATATTGACATATTAACAGGCTCATTGGAATTTTAATTACATGGCAAAACAGTAAATGGGTTCAATTAAAGTGTTTTCACCTCCCTTATCTCACAGGTGATGTTACTTAGAAAAGAACTGTAATAAAATAGTGTAGAGAAATAAAACACATCATGTTATGTTAGTATAATTGATGCTTTTGAATTGCGGTGCTGGAGAAGACTCTTGAGAGAGTCCCTTGGACTGCAAGGAGATCAAACCAGTCCATTCTAAAGGAAATCAACCCTGAATATTCATTGAAAGGACTGATGCTGAAGCTGAAGCTCCAATACTTTGGCCACTTGATGCAAAGAACCAACTCACTGGAAAAGACCCTGATGCTGGGAAAGACCCCTGGCAGGAGGAGAAGGGGGTGACAGAGGACGAGATGGTTGGATGGCATCACCGACTCAACGGACATGAGCAAGCTCCAGGAGATGATGAAGGGCAGGGAAGCCTGACGGGCTACAATCCATGGGGTCACAGAGTCGGACACGAGTGAGCGATGGAGCAACTACTACAATGTTAGTAGAAGCTAGTTCTGAATTCAGGAAAATCTGTATCAAAACACTTATACATTTTAGAGAAACATACAAGACTGGGTTACAGAATGTTCATATGACCCAAACTGAAGGAGCTAAAGAAGCCAAGAACACAGCTGAAACTTTGCAAATAGGGCAAAGATCTTACCAAAGGGTCACCAGGAACCAGGCAGAGTTCCGTCCCTGGGAAAGGAAGACAGAAGAGAAAGGCCATGAGCAAAGGAAGTCTGTCCCCGGGGACAAGGCCACACATTACCAGGAGAGCTCTACCTGGAGAATAATGGGGGCTATTCGGGAAGGGGTTTTATGCAACACACAAAGAATAAAATCACAGAGAGTCCAGCCTAGATATGCAGAAAGACGAGAAGATACTGTTTGTACAGATTCTGGAATTCACTGGGCGGCAGGAAAACTTATCTCCCGCTGGCTTGGTTGAAGCCAACAGAAACAGAAAGAGTCACACTTTCCATGCCAAATCACCCTACTGGTAAGTAACTGTCTGTGGACACGGACACCTCTCCCTCTAGCAAATAACCAATACAGGGTCAGGTGGACACTGCGTTTGGATATCACTAACCTGCAGTAACATGCAGCGCCCAGGAGAATGTCGGGACATCTGAGCACAGCTGCAGCAAGAGCATCCTGGACTCCTTCCTTGAGCTCTGTCCGTTTGGACACAAAGACTGTTTTCCCCCAGGTCTGCTGTGCACAATTCCTAGATGTGACCGTGGGCACTGGTGCAACAACCTTGCTTTTCTACGTCAGGCCCTTTAACACTGGGCAGCATGAAGTATATAAACTCTTTCCTCTAAAGATGCACCATCCAGATGTGTTTTTCTGATAGATTCTGGAGCATGTAAGCGGCACAAGGGAAGCCCCCAAGGCAGAAAGAGAAGGCTTCAGCACACAGGAGGGTCCGCAGCTCGGAAACACCAGCGATCCTTTACCATTCACAAATGCTCTTCCTCGCCAGAATAAATGAATGCAATCCTTACCTCAAATAACTATCTATCCACCACTGGTCTCAGCAACATATTTAAGGTATGGCTTAAAAAGCCACCAGCAAGAACCTGGCACTGGACTCTGCCGCCTGGGGCGCCTGGCTTGCGCGGGCTGGCAGAGGCCCAGCTGCTCCATAAAGGAGCACGCACTTGTCAAGACAATTACGAAAAGAGCTTGGCAGCTCGCTCAGAGGGCAGGCCCGAGGAGAGGCAGCGCCCGGGCACGCAGATCAGAGAGCCCCCCCCCCCCGACACCAAGGCCTCCTTATGAAATCGGCACCTTGTGGGTAGATAATGCCTTTTATTAAAACTAAGTCTAAGGGGAGAAAAAAGGAGCAG